CCCCCCCCCCCCCCCCCCTGCCCTCTCAGGCAGGTGTATCGCTGGTCAGCGTCTAATTTTGTTCCTATGTCACTAAAAGTGAATGCTAAACTCCTTTATTTTGATCCGTTATTTCGAACGTATGGCTTCTCTTTTCGTTCTATATATTGAAAAAAAAACATGATAATTCAGTACAATGTACAAACAGTACAAACACGACTCAAACTTACGGCCAAACCTTTCAAGTGATTAAAATAATGCAGCATAATTATGCTGTGGTTATCGCAATTATCACGTAGGCTCAAATCTCCCTTCTTTCCCCGTTTGAAAACACACATATAATAGATATAGATTCACACACATACGCATTTAATTGAGATAATTTATTTAGGTGAAAACAACTAAACCATCCATGAGCAGTTTTCGATACATGCAAAAAATATTTAATAGCTTTAATGCCAGAAATTGTGTTTCAAACGACATAAAAGGTACCAGTGACAAAATTTCCCTGCTATTAAAATAATTACTTTCCACTTTCCCCGTGTAACCTCGTATTAAAAATAATTTCGTAAAACTGCTTTGAAAAACGACGCAGGATATATCAGATGATCAGAGAAACTGTTCTCTTCTGTACTAATTGAACATGAACAAGAAAAATAAGTCAATGTTTAAAGTTTAGAGAAGCCCAACCATAGATTACCGACTTCAAACTTTTTCCGCAATACGAACTTGCACAGGGGGCCTGTGACATAAATTATTTTTAGCTCAAAAAATGCCCTCCACTTACATGTTTGTGTATAAAGATTGTATTACAGACCCATATGTACATGTGATTGTACCAGTAGATATTTATAGCTCTTTTTCAGCACCTTGACTATCTCTTACTTCGATCTTCCGCGTAGATTTACTAAGCTGCTCAGCCTCCCCTATTTTCGGCGAGACATGCATTAATGAAATTTGTCACGCAAAATGCGAGGTCCTATAGAATTAGGTCAAATAATGCACATAAACATGCATATCTAAAAGAAAAAAGCTCATTTGGACCAATGAGTGTTTTGAGTCCAAGCTAGAATATATCAGTTCCATAACAAAGTTAAAGATATTTTCTACAGGATATTATCAAAGATCTTTATCCCTCATTTTTGCCCATATTCACCGGCGTTAGCGAATACATTAGGTATTCAAACAAGTACAGTACGTACAAGCTAGAACAATGGCCTCATTTAACTTGAAATAGAGTCTTCGTCAAACGAGAGACTAGAATAATGTGATGTGGCAATGGACACGTGCACAGAAATATATACATGCATATGGAAAACCACCTGTGGGGCATGAGGGAAACATTTGGCATATCACCTACCCCCAATACAGTATTTTTTCATTGAACATGGCGAAGCCAAATCTATTTCACCGTGATACCCGCCATAGTAATATCTAACATAGCAGTACAACTGGTTATACAAGGACTACTAACTCGTTCTCGTGAGGAGATACATGTAGATACGGACCAGCATGCCTCGAGACCAGGTAAAAATACAAGTAACAAAGATGTTAAACGTATATTTTCTCTTCATAATCAGAATATACACAGGAAGTGCTGTGTGTGTGTGTGTGTGTGTGTGTGTGGAGAGAGAGAGAGAGAGAGAGAGAAAGGTTACTAGAGAGAGTTGGAGTGTGTGCGACAGTTAAAGTGAGTGTGTTTGTGTGTGGAAGTGTGTTGGCGCCCGCGAAGCGCTGCTGTGGATACATCTGTAAGGTAAATAGGGGTGGGGGGGGGGTACCGTTCGTTATTAGCGGAGATCTACAATTCATTTCTCCAGTATAACTTTTAAAAATATGGTTGCCCTGTTTAACTTTCTTTTCGGCCAGTGATTTTAATAAAACGGATCCCAACGACTATCTACCACTTATTGTACAGGTAGTCGCATTCCGCCTGCATCATAATGAGAGAATGCATGCACTGCTAAAATCTTAACATTGGCTTGAGCCGTTAACAAAAGCAATTTTTGAACACTTGCATCTATGTGGTCAAAATTAAGGCAGGCTTTGAGATACAAATCTGAGACTTATAAAAATCTGCAATTACAGAGACGGCTGGTTAGGGAAATATCTGTAACGTAAGCATACTTTTCTAGTCAAGGTAATGACTATGCAAACAGATTTAGTCATCTTGTCGTCTTCCTTTCTCCCCCCCCCCTCCAAATGGAAAATCTTACTATCTACCAAAATGCNACAGCATAACATTTGAAAGAAAAGGGCCTGGTCATGCTGATTTTCAATCTTGACCATTCTTTTACTTATAATCATCAGTTCTGTGAGTTTTATGAAAAGCCTAGGAGAGCTTAATTTGATAAAAAAGACCTTTAGTTTAAAAATATGAACTTACTGAATATATAGACATCTGAGATATAACATTATTTTCCGTTTAGTCTGCCCTTTACAGCACAACCGAGGACGCGGAATTTGGTCCGCCCTTTACAGCACAACCGAGGACGCGTGTGTATAGCACGATTTCAGACAAAAAGTTGGACAGTATTTCTCATACACCTGTGGCGGGAATTTGGCCCGCGCTATACAGCATAACCGAGGACTGGCTCAGAATAGCGTCAAATTTCACCACCTAACTTGAAATGGGCCCCTTTATGCATTCCACTGCTTATGTCAACCGAGGACGTCCTCGGTTGGAGGTGTGTCCTCGGTTAGTGGGTTTCGGGCGGGTGTGTGTCCTCGGTTAGAATGCGTGAACAAGAGCACACAGTGTGTGTGTGTGTGTGTATGTGTGTGTGTGACAGAGTGACAGAGACAAAGAGAGAAGTTATTAGAGAGAGTTGAAGTGTGTGCGACACTTAAAGTGTGTGTGCGTGTGTGTGTGTGTGAAAGTGTGATGGCGTCCGCGAAGCGCTGCTGTGGATATATCTGTAAAGGAAATGGGGTTGGGGGGAGGAGGGTACCGTTCGTTATCAGCTTAGATCTACAATTTATTTCTCCAGTATAATTTTTAAAAATATGGTTGCCCTATTAAACTTTATTTTCGGCCAGTGATTTGAATAAAACATATCCCTACGACTATCTACCACTTATTGTACAGGTAGTCGCATTCCGCCTGCATCATAATGAGAGAATGCATGTACTGCTAAAATCTAAGCATTGGCTTGAGCCGTTATAATTAACAAAAGCAATTTTTGAACACTTGCATCTATGTCGTCAAAATTAAGACAGGCTTTGAAATAAAAATCTGAATAGATAAAGACGGCAATTACAGAGACGGCTGGTTAGGAAAGTATCTGTAACGTAAGCATACTTTTCTAGTCAAGGTAATGACTATGCAAACAGAATTAGTCATCTTTTCATCTTCCTTTCAACCNGGTTTCGGGCGGGTGTGTGTCCTCGGTTAGAATGCGTGAACAAGAGCACACAGTGTGTGTGTGTGTGTGTATGTGTGTGTGTGACAGAGTGACAGAGACAAAGAGAGAAGTTATTAGAGAGAGTTGAAGTGTGTGCGACACGTAAAGTGTGTGTGCGTGTGTGTGTGTGAAAGTGTGATGGCGTCCGCGAAGCACTGCTGTGGATATATCTGTAAAGGAAATGGGGTGGGGGGGGGGAGAAGGGTACCGTTCGTTATCAGCTTAGATCTACAATTTATTTCTCCAGTATAATTTTTAAAAATATGGTTGCCCTATTAAACTTTCTTTTCGGCCAGTGATTTGAATAAAACATATCCCTACGACTATCTACCACTTATGGTACAGGTAGTCGCATTCCGCCTGCATCATAATGAGAGAATGCATGTACTGCTAAAATCTAAGCATTGGCTTGAGCCGTTAACAAAAGCAATTTTTGAACACTTGCATCTATGTCGTCAAAATTAAGGCAGGCTTTGAAATAAAAATCTGAATAGATAAAGACGGCAATTACAGAGACGGCTGGTTAGGAAAGTATCTGTAACGTAAGCATACTTTTCTAGTCAAGGTAATGACTATGCAAACAGAATTAGTCATCTTTTCATCTTCCTTTCTACCCCCCCCCCCCCCCCCC